TTGTTTGAATGTTGAGCAAACCTAACGTTACGACTGCCAAGATTGGAGTAGATATTGATTACTTACTACAACAGATTATTGTTTACATTCATACTATTGTTTATTATATTGATTATTGTTTTAGTGAATTTGAGATTCAGGAAACTACTGATAATAGAAGGTTTTCTCCTTATCTTGATCTTTCCCTCGATATTGACCCAGCAGTAATATACCATCTGTCCTATCGTTTGTCGTTTACATATATCAATTAATAAACGTTACACTCAGGCATGTTCACACTATAAGGACTTTATTGGCAAGGACGTGCTACAACATAGTTACGAGGAAAAACGACTGAAAATGATACTGCATAAGTTTTACGGTCCCCATCACGAATTATTTGACCGATATGATATGTCTGTTTCTGAACTCAGTAGCGACAGTTTTCCACAGCCTTTGATCTTTAGAAATATGAATAGGCGTCTAATTCAGCAATTGTTTCGATAATGTCCTATTCCTGATTGTTACATTTTGGTTGAGTGTGGATTCGCATGGAGGGTTATGCATACATGCACGCTTACACTATCGACGCACCCGTTGTAGTTCCGTTCGGAATTCATGCGATTCCCCCAATTTATCATTTTTATGTTTGTTACTTTTGATTTTTTTCTTTGTCGATCTATAAGATTTGAACATCGCTAAATTACTGTCTTAACTAAATAGGACTTTATTTTGTATTAATCTAAAACATCGTTATTTTCTAAGATTGATAACAAATGGAATAATTTAATTCCACAATGAATAAGATGGATCTTATCTTTTTATTGCTATGACACTATCTTTTTGCGAGCTTTGTTGTCTTGTAACAATTGTCTGTGTTGCATTTTAATTGCTTCTGGTATTTTGATCCAATACAAAACATATTCTTGGTTAAGATGCCATTTGAAATTGATAGGAAACAATCGTTACACAATGACAAATTATGTACTTAACATTTTGTATACATTTACAAAACGGAAAAAAGGAACTGTAACACGACTTTATATAAACGGAATGAGAAAATATACGTCTGCTACAGGATCAACGTATTCCATGTGCAAATTAATGTCCATATATTATGTTGTTGGCGTTTGTCTTATAGTCATTTGCCAAAGATTTTGCTAGATCTTGGATACTGATAATGAGTTGGGTCTCACAAAAACTTTTACTCCTAAACCCATGTAGCCTGCCATTTAATATGTTATTATTTTTATTATATACAATTTGCCAGATACTATTTGTCCAGGCCAGTTTATGTCAGGAGGTTTAAGTCACCACCAAAACAAGAAGATGGAATTCATGAATTTTAGTTTAAGTTCATTAATTTCATGGATCATTTGTTTAAGATAGTTAATGCCAGTTTTATTCGATGGTCTATATGCCACAGTCTTATTGGCTTTGTACGCTGTTAAAAGTCATGATCACTGATGAGAGTGGATGCGACAACTGCGTGAAAACTGCTACAACTGCGTGAAAACTGCGACAACTGCGTGATATGTACATAATTCCAACCATACAAATATTTCGGACCTAATTTCTATTTCAAAAAACAACGGCAGACATTATCTATTAACCAAGCTCTGCTCTTTACCTATAAATAAATTAAATAAAATTTTAGAGGATTGCAACACAATTTCATATTGCAGTCCTAAGTATGAAATCGTTCAAATTATAATGGCATATTGTTATTCTAAACTGTTTCCTAAAATTGATCGCTCTGAAGATCAAAAAAACATTTTATTAAAATAAAGTATGTCAATAAAGGTTTTGATTTTGTAAATATTGCCGGTATTTTTAACGACCATTCTGTTAAAGAACAAATTCCTGGATATTTTGATAATACTGAACTCCCTCTTATTTGTTATATTTACAAGAAATCTACCCGGAAATTTGTGTTTAATTATAGCCAAGTCTGTAAAGATGTAAATATCAGTGAAAATACACCTACGTCATGTAATTGTAGTAATTCAGAATACACTTATGGCCCCATTTCCCATGTTATAACAGGAGACCTTAACATCGTTCGCGACCGAGAGTTAAAATCATTCCTCAATAAAGGACCTAAATATCGTCCCCGTCAATTATTAATTGGAATGAGTGTCGTAATACCATCAACGACTCACTTCGTACTTATTGTTTGAAATGGATAAAACGGGGAAAAGCTGACAAAAAATCTTTGGACTCTTTTTTTAATTCAGCAATGAAGATAGTTGATATACGTATACAACATTTTAAAGAACATTTTACTCTTAACAACAACCATAAAAATCCTATTTCTCGTATCAAACATAAACTAAAAGAACTAGCCAAGGAATTTGTTTTTGTCCCGGCTGATAAAGCTGCTAATAATATTATTATAGTTTGACGTAAATTTTACATTGAGGTTCTGCAAAAGGAAATCACCAATTCACCAACATTCCAACTGACTTCATTTTCAGAAAACGATATCTGTAACAAACATAAACTATTAGCTACTTCTTTACAAGCAGAACCAAATACAATGAAAGTCCCAACTATGTACTGGCTTCAGAAGCTACAAAAATCACCTTACAAATATAGATTTATTTCGTCTTCAAGTCATTGTTCCACTACTAAATTGTCTATTCTACTTACTAGTACACTTGCCCTTGAATTTTTACTTGATAACATTTTTGTTCGCTTTGGAGATTCCGTATATCGTCAAGTTATTGGAATTCCAATGGGGACTAACTGTGCACCACTTATTGCAGACCTGTTTTTGTATTGTTATGAGGTACAATTTATGACTAAAATCAGCAAAGACCAATCTTAACAACATCTGATACAAAAATTTAACAATACTTGTAGATATTTGGATGATATATTGGCTCTCAATAATGACGACTTCAGTATGTAAACTAAAGAAATTTATCCTGTTGAACTTACTTTAAATAAAGCTTATACTAATAATGACCACTGTCCTTTCCTCGATCTTGATATCTATATCATTAACGGGAAGCTTAATACAAAAATTTATGATAAAAGAGATGATTTTTCATTTCCTATCGTTACTTATCCATTTTTAGATGGTGACGTTCCCTTGTCACCATCTTATGGTGTTTATATATCTCAACTTGTACGATTCGCTCGTGTATGTAACAACGTATTAGATTTTAGCGAGAGAAATTTATGTATTACTGAAAAATTATTACACCAGGGTTTTCGATATCATAAACTAGTCAAAACATTTATTAAATTTTATCATCGGTATAAGGACATCATTCGTAAATATAACTCAACATGCAGATATCTTATACGTTCGGGTATTTTACATCCAATCTTTTATGGTAATATTCTTTACAAAGCACAAAAATGTCAGTATTCACCTCAAAAGCTAACAAAACAGACTTATTAAGAAGGGATATAGTTACGATACTGTTGTCAGGTCATTAAAGATTGCATATTTTGGCTTTAGTATTAATTCACTTATATAGGGTCTTTGCATCGGAATTAAACACGTTTATTCTAAAACCAGTTGTTGGCATGACAAGGGTTATGTTCTTCTCATATATTTTATGATGGTATAATACTAAACCCCTAACAGGAGGGATTGTGCCTGATATTCATATGATGAAGACATAATCTTTCAATCAGTTTAATTGAGGTCTGGAGCTGGCATGCCAGTAACTGCTAGTAGTCTGTTGTTATTTATGTATTATTGTCATTTTATTTATTTTCTTTTGTTTCCTTTTCTGACATCGGACTCGGACTTCTCTTATACTGAGTTTTACTGTACGTACTGTTGTGCGTTTTTTTTCTACATTGGCTAGAGGTATAGGGAGAGGGTTGAGATATCAAAAAACATGTTTAACCCCGCCGCATTTTTTCGCCTGTCCCAAGTCAGGAGCCTCTGGCCTTTGTTAGTCTTGTATCATTTTTAATTTTAGTTTCCTGTGTATAATTTGGAGTTTAGTATGACGTCCATTATCACTGACCTAATATACATATTTGTTTAGGGGCCAGCTGAAGGACGCCTCCGGGTGCGGGAGTTTCTCGCTGCATTGAAGACCCATTATTGGCCTTCGGTTGTTGTCTGCTCTATGGTCGGGTTGTTGTCTCTTTGACACATTCCCCATTTCCATTCTCAATTTTATATGCATATCATGTTTTGTACTTTTAGTATTCAGTGTGATGTATTATGTACTGTGTTATTTTTGTTAATTTTAAGTATGTCATCAACCGCATTGGGTATAACTGTGCATTTATTTGAATAAAGGACATGTTCTTTGTTTATAATGTCTACTGCTCCAACTTTGTTAGATTATTTGTTTATTATGGAATTATTGGTCTTAAATTTAGACAATGGAATCTTGTCACGCATTTATATAGTTTCTTTAGTTTTGTGCTTTATGATTCGATATTGCGAAAAAGTGCAAATAAGAAGTTACTATTTTGTATCCCTATCTTTCGGAGGTACAAGGTAAGATTTTTACTTTGCAATGAATTCTTCTTTTTTATTTTCAACTGAAAGTTTTATTTCGGTGTAAATGTGAATTAAGATTCTTTTGTATATACATATTAATTTTCATTTTCTTTATTTTCTAGTTTTTTTCGGATCTTTTTTTAAAATTTAATTCAAATTGTTTATGTGACGTTGTATGCTCGGTTTTAGACCCCCGCAAAAACGTGTTCCATCCTCTTTATTTGTATTTCGTACTTATTCATCCTTCATTTGAACTCAAAATGGTTCTCTTATTGATAGTCAATTAAATTTATATCAGATAAAATTTCTATTCGCACGAGAAGGGCGAGGGAGAATTTAAAATGCAATAAAAATATTAAAAAACAGATTGAAGGATACTCATCCAAATCCACGAATAAGCATGTGCAAAAAAAGAAACCATCAACGCTCGGCCATAGAATTTTTGTCAATTTTAATCCATGATCAACAACATTTTATTGGTTCCCAGGAATACCAGTAAGAGCTAAAAATAACTTCCAATTTCATTAGTTGATGGTTTAAATCAGTCTGCACATGTGCGCAGCGACATTATATGTGAGACTGAGATGTGAGTATTACTATGTTAATATATAGTTACATTTATAATCACTATACATTTCGTAAACTCTAATCAAAGAAAGTATTTTAATGATAAAGATTTTTATGAAATAACAGTAAACATAATTATTCATGAGTTAAATTTACTATTCTTGTTACCTTATGGAAGCATTATATTTAACGATAATTCAAACCAAGTCTTTTTATTTGAAAAATTTCAAACAAGGATATCTCTTATAGACAGGAAATAATGAACAACTTTTACAACATTATAAATATAATCCTACAATTTCTTAATACGATGAATCATAGGTAGATAAACTATAAATATTTGAATTGGTACCTATACATTGTGTAAACAGTAATTCTTCTTATGATAACAGTGAGAAAATCAATAGTTTGTTTACGTCGGTAACCATACTGATTAAAAGTTATTTGGAAACTGCAACCGTAGATTTAGGAAATTGTATGTTACATAATTATTGTGTAAAAGTGTTGTGTCGTTGGGTGTATAAGAGGGTCTGGATTGGGAGGTGAGTCCATTATTTATTATTTAAGTTTTTAAAGCATTTTTTTCTATTCTTGTTTTAGTTTGCCCTTTTTTTTAACCTCTTTTTCTCAATTCTGTATTATTTTAGCCATTTATTCTGCACCCTTTGCCATTATTCTCTTTTCTGTAAACCCCACCCAGACCCTTGCATAAGTTTTCAGTCGTGATTACTAACCGTATACAGAAGACAGAAGGAAATGGTTAACTTTACATTACTAAAGTATTATATTTTGATGACGTAACAAGTATACAACTTACAACATCTAAATTTCTGTCTCGACACTACATTTGCTACATAAAATAAAAATATGGAAAAACACTGTCCTAGTATGACAAATAAATGCTGACAGATGAATAATTTGAGCTTGATCATGATTTTACTTGGCCATGAGGGTCGTAAAGTAACGGGGTACTTGAGGACCGTTATACAAATTTACTAAGGCACCATCGTTTAACAAAGGAACCCCGACACTAAAACTATTTCCAAAGAATTATGTGGAAGAACGACTGAAATGGACACTACACTAGTTAAATGATCATAATCATGAATTGTTATATCTTTAGATACCAGAATAGTCGTTGGATCTGTAGATGTACTGAATGCATCTATCCTGATTGTGTCATTTTGACGATTTTGGATTCGCATGGGTAACAGAAGACGCTGGTAACAGTCAAATGTCACAAATGTCAAAAAGTAACACCTTGAAAATTTATTTTCTAAATTTTTTAAGGATTGATTCTGGTATATTGAAAAACAATCCTGTCTTTACATAGTGCATGGTCGTCAAAGATTGTAAGTTCGTTTCCATAGAGAAAAAATATACGTACGAGTTTTAAACTCGGATTAACTATTGTTTTTTTGTTGATCCTTTAGTCTTATATAAATTACAATTTAATTATCCATGCATCTTTAGTGCATCTCTAATGATCCGATGTGTAAGTTGCTGCAGGTATTTGTTTATACACAATCATACATAACATGTTAATACAATTCTAGAATTGTTAATTGCATTGTTATCTATATAATATCTGCAGCCGATTGAAATCGTCGTTATTCAAGCTCTTACTGCATCAATCACTCTTATATAATAGACATATAAAAATGTATAACCGATTTATATTATGTGTTAAATTATAAAAAAAAGCTGTCGTGCACCAGTGTTTATACCTTATTTGTTGATTGGATCTGGTGTAGTCTTTTAAAAGTACATCTACATTATATTGATTTGCGCTTGACCGCCGATAAAAGTGAAACATTATAGCAAGTTTGTCTCTCGAGAAATAATCTAAAATATTAATTCTGTGTTTACAGAGAATTTCAAGGTTGGACATTACTTTCAAAGACATAAAAAAATTCCTGTCAGTTTTTCCTTTTAGCAAAATTAGTAACAATGACCTTAAACACGTTTTTCTTTCGAAATTTTACTAGACCTTGGAAATCCAAAAGTTAGCATCTTAAAAAACTTCTTAAAGGTGGGATATATGATACAGACAGACGAGACTTGGATTTCAAAAGACTTACGAGTGAACTGCAGCAGCATGAAGATATCGTGTATCAATATAAAGTTTATGCCTCGGACATGGAAAAATGTACGTCTATCTAACAGGAAGAAAATGAAATACTAAAACGAAATCAAGAAATATGTTATTCTTTAGGACATTCTCCGTACCAAAATCAACAGATTCAAAATGAACTAGAGAGTTTGAAAATTAAACTTAATTCTATTCGAAAGAAAAACTTTTGGGAAGATAAAAAACACATGAAACTAAGGGCATGCAATTAAAGGTAAACTGAAATAGATGGATTAAAACCAAAAATAGAACACTTGAAGAATTCCAATTGTGGATTAATCAATAATATGAAGGAAATTGAAAACCTCAAACATCAGCTGACATTACAACAGCAAAGTCATACCAACCACAGAATTTTTCACACAAGAAGCTGACAATGTCGGCGATATTGAACATTTATTAATAATAGTTGTTTGAGCACATAAACTGCGTTCGGATTTTCCAACAGATGTATTGTTTTTGGTTTGAAATAACTGAATTTTTTTATATTTCACTCTCTTAAAATAATTTGGACTTTACCAATTCGTTTATGTTTATTGGATTAAACTGTCGACTTGGATGTGAATGAATTTTTATCTAGATTCCAATCCATTAACTAAAACCCAATATCTCATATATTGCTACCGAAAAATCTAACCTGATGTTACAAGTTCGTATCTTGTAGTACAATAACAGCCGAATACAAATACAAAAGCTAGTTTCCCCAGCATCAACATCATTCACACAGACGGGATCCCACTCAAAGCCAATTTCGAAAATATTTATCAAAATCTTTCTTGATAAATGCATGTTCCAGTCTCCAGACGAAATAAAACTCATGCAAAATGTCACAATCGGATATATTACAGATCAGACGGCTATTCTGGTATCTGAAGATCGACGTTTTTTTGCTCAGTCTAGTTTTTTATCAGTATGTAGTGTTTTTTTTTTACTTGTTTGCCTTTTGTCGTCGTCTTTCTTTTTTGCCAGTGCGTTGTTAGTTTGTTTTCGACTTTTGAGTTTTTAATCTCTCCCTGGTCTTTTCCGCCTTTTATCTTCCAAGACCGAAAAATCATTTCGTTTGTGAGTTGAGGCATAAGGTAGCAATATACAGTTAGGAAAACAAAAATTGAAATTTACCCTCATAAATTTTACCATCCCCTTTTCCTTGCTTTTTTACAAATTAAGCTTACTGTTTGTGTCATACATGTGCATATGTTTGTAAAATGATAAAAAAAAAATGTTGGTGTATTCATGGCAACAATCTGCATTTAATTGCTATAACATAAAGATAAAGATGTCACATATTTTCCCTAAATTTGGCCAAAAGTAGAATTTCAATCCCTTTGAGTGATACCTTTTCTGAAACTGTTTACGTATATCTATCAAGAGATCAAATAAAAATCATATGTCTTTCGTCTCATTTTTTTTTTGAAAACCGAAAAAGGACCTTAGGGAAATATAAAACTGGACAAGGAACCAGAGCAATGCATGAGGGTTATACATTACTTAATTTGAAATAATTATGAAATTTAATAACAGCAAATTTAAATCGAACATTATCTGTATTTCCATGACAGAACCGAAGTAATAGTTACTAAAGAGTATAGTAATGTTAATCGCTTATTAAGCATATTATGAATATAGAGAATAATGACAGGAACTATGATATTATTACATTATGACAAGTAGTTTGCAGATGTTCAAATCTCATGAATCGATTAAAATGACTTCAAATTTTATATTTCCTGTTTTATTGTATTAGACTGAAAACATCTATGGAAGAGGGACGAAAGATACCAGAGAAAATAGAGGTAAAATCGGAAATTTATTTTTTCGCTTTTTTGTGACATCGTTTTATAGCACACAATTTTGTTATGCAGACTGTTATGTTATTAAAGAACAATAATTTCTGCTTTTTCATATCGAAATTTTTAAACAGTTGAACTTTTTTTTTTCAGAGGACATGGCTTGTCGGCGTTTTTTAACTTTCGAGCCTATTGATAAACCATCATGGCGAAAACGTGACAGTAAATATGAATGTGTACCTACGGTGAAAGAAATGATAAAAGATATTGTCAATTATCATACTACATGGTTGAGGAAACAAAGAAATTCAGGGAAGAACAGCTTTGTAGAGGCAAAACGTGAAATGATGATGGAATTCCTGTTCCGAGTTCAACAAGGTGAAGATATAGGAGTGAATGACCAAGGTACATTTGAACAGGTTTTCAATGCCGAAATAAAACACTTTGAAAAAACTGGACAAAAACGGGAATGCTCGGAGTCTGAAAAGGATTCACCGCGAAAGAAAATCCGTCATGAGTCACCAAGTAATGAACAAAGGAGCGACAGCTTACCAGACTCTTTGGATGTTGAAGATTATATTATTGAAAATTCGACAGATAAAGGCAACGACGAACACAATAAAATAAACGAAACTAGAAATTTACTGCGGGGCTACTGGCATTTAAAACATGAATTTAAAAAGTTATCAGATGAAGAACAATCTAATTATGTTGGTGAAATTGATGTCGAGACGTGCATTCTGGACTGCCATGGAGTTCTGATGCGCGACCTGCTCGATGAAACCAAAACGCAGCCTGGAAAATTCAGTGTTCTACCGAGATCAGCAAATTTTGATGGAAAAGATTTCTTTTATCCATCTTATGCAACTAACGAAATTGCGTTTCAAGCAGTTGATACAATTGTTTTGGAGTACAACAAGATGGTGATGGAAATATCAAAAATAAAAAATAAACATGAGAAATTGGAACATTCACTTAAGTGTGCTACTGTATTGCTTTTTGGGTTTTTAACACTTCATCCGTTCTCCGACGGTAATGGTAGGCTTGCTCGACTATTATGCAGTCATTGCTTAAAAGTATTCTGTCCTTTCCCAACTTCGATTTATAACGTGTTTTCTCATTCTACCAGAGACGATTATTTGAGAGCACTTGTTAACGCTAGACAGCATTTAAATATTGACCCTGATCAATTAAAACATGATGAAGATGCCATCAAAGAAGCTGAGTTAATTTTAGAACAGAAACCAAATGAACTTTGTTCTCTTGTAATAGAAAGTAACTGGTTTACATGGCGACAGTTTCTACATAGAATAGGAGAGGACATACCACTTTTTGAATTTGAAAAGACTCATGAAATAAGTGAAACATAACATGTTTTTGATTTAAAGTGTATCAATCGCATCAATGGCGATGTTCCTCGTTAAAAATATGCATTGTTTTTTTTTTTTCATCTAAAAATATCTTTATTGCACTTTTCTTTGCTGTATTGACAAATTACTCGACCTACAGCAGTTGGCCGAGTATCCCTGTGAATTAGTTAATGAAAATTAGAAAATATGCATTGTTATGTGCAATTATATTCCAAAATCATATTATTGATAAATATCATAAAAAAAGTTTCATAACGTTTTTATTTCCACTACATTTCACGACTTGTATATATGAATTTTATATGCATAAACCATAGTAATGGAATACAATGAAAAGAAGGAGATATTAGATAAACGACAAAAACCTAACCAGCAACAACTAGAGGCAATATACAGTTTTCAACAATAAGTTGGAGTCTTTGAAATATACATAGCTCAAAATCGTCCACTGTAGAAAAGAGTGAACACATTTGGCAGAAACAATCATGATCTACCATCTTCAACACATTCTTGAAAACTTATGAAATAGGATAGCCGCGGTTGATATTCTGACTTGGGACAGGCACAGATTAGTATATGTCGGGGTTAATTAGTATATTATTGATGTAAACCCTACACTTTTCGATTCAGTGGATCAACAATAGGTACATGAATTATATACAAGGAACATTCAAAAGTAAATAGAGGAAACACACAACTCTAATAAAAAAAACCTAACAAAATGTTAAATGCCTTTAAATGTTTTCTGTGGGATGTGTACTGATTGATAAAGTATTCTGAGAAAACATGATTTACTTATATCGTCGTAATTGGCCTTGAAATCCACCCAATGGAACTTAGTTTAAATAAATCAAGTATTAACAGCAATAACTATCCTTTGCTAGGTCAGATATTTCCATTTCATTAGGGAAAATCTATACAAAATCTTTTTGTTCCCTACTGTAAATTTTCCTTTTATGGACGGTGATGTTTCTTTGGTCCGATCTTCCGGCAAAAAAGTAAAACAACAAGTACCCAACTCCAAGGTAAATTCAAAAAGGGAAAGTCCATAAAAAACTGACAAAATCAAACGTTAAACTGTATCAAGCAACGGAACGAATGGAAAACAACTGTTATATGCCATACTTGGTTCAGGTATTTTCTTAAGAAAGTGGTGGATTAACACTGGTTTAAGTTTTATAGCTAGCTTAACCTCCCACTTGTATGACAGTTGCTTATAGTTCCGTTGTACTGACAAACCCAAGCAGACATAATAGTTTAATTTGACAATAGTTGGGTTTCAGCAGCCAAAACTTTGTAAACATACATCGCAGACATTCAATCAAGCATACAAAAACAAAACTAAAAAAAACAAATTTTTTTTAGTCCCCTACCGACGAAGTCGAAGGGGACTTTAGGTTTGCACTCCGTCCGTCTGTCCGTCTGTCCATCCGTCAGTCCGGCAAATCAGTCTTCCACACTTTTTTCTTCGTTCTTAAAGATATTGATTTGATATTTGGTATATAGTTTTATAATGACAAGTTATAGATCAAGTTCGAATTTTGTTCCGGTCTGATGATTAAGTCCAGAGTTATGGACCATAACGCTGGGCCATATCTAATGAAAGAGTACTATGTTAAACCATATTTCTGTACAAAGGGAGATAACTCATTTTTTAAAAGACATTCTTTGATAAATTGTTTGAAGATGTTTTTAGCAGGTTTGTTTGTTATTTTGTTTAAACTAATTTTCTGAATGCTATATATATATATAAAAAATTATGAAGTGAAATCCTTTAATAAGATAATAATCTATTTTTAATTAATGTATATATTTCATTACATTACATTGTGTAGATAAAAATTGTTGACATTTTATAGATAAGTTACAAATCTATATTAGTTTGTGACAATTGAAAGAAAAAAAATATTTGGAACTATTAATTATATTTGATTAAAATTTGAAAATAGATATACACTGTATTACATCATATCTAATTTAAGATAACTATTAATCATATCTAATATGTAAGTGTTTTTTCACACTTTTTTCATCATGCTTGAAGATATTGATTGATAATTGGTATATAGTTTTATCATGACAAGTTACAGATCAAGTTCGAATTTTGTTTCGGTCTGATAATTTTGTGCAGAGTTATGGTCCTTGGACTTGAAAAATTCACTCATATAATCAGTTTTCCACACTGTTTTTAGTCATGCTTGAAGATATTGACTTGATATTTTCTTTTTATTTACACCATGACAAGTTATAGAACAAGTTAGCACTTTGTTCCAGTATAATGAATGTTTACTCGGTAGGGGACTATATATTGCCATGCAATACTCTCAGAATGCTTGTTGAACTTGACTTGATAGTAAAATTGAGAATGGAAATGGGGAATGTGTCAAAGAGACAACAACCCGACTATAGAGCAGACAATAGCCGAAGGCCACCAATGGTTCTTCAATGCAGCGAGAAACTCCCGCACCCGGAGGCGTCCTTCAGCTGGCCCCTAAACAAATATGTATACTAGTTCAGTGATAATGGACGTCATACTAAACTCCAAATTATACACAGGAAACTAAAATTAAAAATGATACAAGACTAACAAAGGCCAGAGGCTCCTGACTTGGGACAGGCACAAAAATGCGGCGGGGTTAAACATGTTTTTTGAGATCTCAACCCTCCCCTTATACCTCTAGCTAATGTAGAAAAAACAAACGCACAACAGTACGCACAGTAAAACTCAGTATAAGAGAAGTCCGAGTCCGATGTCAGAATAGGAAACAAAAGAAAATAAACAAAATGACAAGAATACATAAATAACAACAGACTACTAGCAGTTACTGACATTCCAGCTCCAGACCTCAATTAAACTGATTGAAAGATTATGTCTTCATCATATGAATATCAGGCACAATCCCTCCTGTTAGGGGTTTAGTATTATACCGTCATAAAATATATGAGAAGAACATAACCCGTGTCATGCCAACAACTGGTTTTAAAACAAATGTGTTTAATTCCGATGCAAAGACCCTATAAGTGAATAAATATTAAAGCCAAAATATGCAATCTTTAATGACCTGACAACAGTATCGTAACTATATCCCTTCTTAATAAGTCTGTTTAAAGGTTTTGTTAGCTTTTGAGGTACATACAGCATATACACTCTCATCAAGAGTCATACGACAAAAATAAATATAATAGCATAAAGACAAAGAAAGGAAAAACTGTAAAGTTAATAAAAAGATACACAATTTCAGCACCTACAATCTATAGACCATCTTGTATTATTTGTGGAGTAGACACTAAATATTTATCTATCAGGTCTTGGTACTTTCCGAAGAAAAAGGACGAGACATTCTTTGACAAAACGCTGGCTAATTACTTTTTTGTTCAAGACACCGATGACGTTTTACAGAGTCAGCTGCAAGATCTTGAATATCGTAATGAGTTGAGAAATGTTACTCCATTCGAGTTGGAAGATTACTGCTAAGATGAGGAAAATTCATAATTTCAAAATTGAAATCGTATCGTCTGTTAAAGATTCGAGTACTGAAATGACCGCTGTAGTCAAATTCGAGGTACATATCTAGAAATGAGGTAGAGGAAGCTGTATCTGTGATTTATTTCATCCCTAGCACAAGAGGATATATTAATGGGACTCAATCAGAAAAGTTTGGTTTGTTAATGAAAAGAACATCATCAATATATTTATATGTGAAAATAAATGATCTAGCTTCTTTGATTTTCATTTGACAGTGTTTATATATCCCAACTCGTTCTCTATGCACGTGTCTGAAGTGATGTTATCGATTTCAATGCACGTAGTCTATAAATCACTAGTAAATTATTGAGTCAGAGATTTTGTTATCACAAATTACTTAAAATATTTACTTATCTAACCCCGCCACATTCTGTATGTGCCTGTCACAAGCCAGGACCCTGTAGTTTAGGGGATGTCAATTGTTCTGGGGGCTTATTCACAACGCATCCGTTAACTCTCGGACCTGTTAACTAAAACGGAGACGTTAATGTGGTATTCACAGACGTTTCCCTAAACGTTGTGATAATTTTCCTATGAAAAGCAAAAAAATATTTAAAGAGGACCACACAGATTATCTGCATATGTATGAAACTAAACCAGAGAAGTTCAAGAAAAAATATCACCAACAACGGAATGATAAGTTATTCGGACATCAACTTTTCAATCGAATAAACCAGGAAAACCGCACATATATGCGCAATAGTGCCACAATTGAGACCACATACTCTATAACATCTTATAATATCTCTAAATAAACGCCTCTACGATGTCGTGAAGGTGAGACTTACGCATGCTGTTTCTCGTCGGGTCAGCGGCGACATGAAGGGAAATAACCAATGTTAAGGCAATGATATTTGGTACGCATTTGTTTTATCATTGGCACATTTCCATTTGCATGGAGATTATTTGGCTCTGCCCATCAGTCATGCTTTATTGATTTTGAAACTTTTGCTTAGTTTAAATGTTGAAGTTTCTGATTTAGTCATTTTAAGGGGAACCACTAATGGTAAGTGAATAAAGTTTTAGTATGCATTTGTATTAGCATTGGTACATCTCATTTCCATGGAGATTATTTAGCTTTTACCTCTCATTCATGGTCTATTGACGTTGCAACTCATCTTATTTTAATGTTAAAGTTTGTGATAATGTCTGTTTAAATATTAACTACTAATGGTAAGTCAGTGATATTTCGTATGCACTTGTATTAGCATTAAAGATATATCATTTCCATGGAGATTATTTGACCCTGAACCTTCATTCGTCGTTCGTTGGCTTTTGCATAGTTAACATATTAAAGTATTGCCATTTTAATTTCACATTTTGCATTATTCTATCAAAATAACATAAAGGCGAGTAATATCTTTGTGTCAACAATTTGTCTTGTTGAAATATTTTGCTTTCATATTTAGCCTTGAAAAAACATCTTACATCGATGGCTTGTGGCTTTTCGTCCAGTCAGTATATGCAGAAAAGGATTAGAAATTAGCAAGATTGCAACAAAGTGTTTTTGTGTCATGGATGGCATCATAGTTGAAATACTAAAAGTCTACCAAGATAATAGTGGTGGAAATAGATGTGTTTGGGTTAAAAAATATTGTTTTTTTTTTAATAATAAAAAATAAAAATGGAAAGTTTGAAATTTTAATATCAACTTTTATTGATGAGGCAACATCTTTTATAACAATATAACTCTAGTTGAAACATCACAAACATGATTGTATCAGGAAACTG